GCATCTTCCCGTTCTTCATTCATTGCCATCCCTTACCTCTCCACACTGTGGAAGTCCATTCTGAAAATTTTTCACCAAGCATTTGGTTACCTGCACTGATTTTTGATCCTTTTGCTCAGACCCGACTGTTTGTCTTCAAAACCTCCTGGAATAAAAAAAACCTCAGAACTGGGAACAGGAGTAGGCAATTCAGCCCCTCGAGCCTGCTCCCCCATTTCATATGATCATGGCCGCTCACGACTTGGTCTCAATGCTTTCCTGCCCACTCTGTGCAACCCTTCAAGATATTACTAAGTAAAAATCTATTTCCTCCTTAAATTTATTCCATGTCCCAGCACCCACTGCTATCTGGGGTCCTAAATTTCATTATTCCACGCATACATGACCCTTTCTTCTCAGCTGTTTCAATTTTGCTATCCCTGATCCTAAAATTGTGACTTTTTTCGAGATTGCCCCACAAAAGAAAACATTCTCTCGATGTGTATTGTGTCAATCCCCTTTGTCATCTTAAATACCTCAATTAGATCTCCTTTCATTCTTCTAAAGTCTGGTGAATATTGGCTGAAACTGTCCACACTGTCTTCACAAGACAAACCCCTCACCTCTGGAATCAATCTCATGAACTGCCTGCAATACAATGGCATCCCTCCCAAGGGGACCAAACCTGGATGCAGTACTCCAGGTACAGTCTCATGATGCCTTTACAGTTGCAGCAACACTTCCATACATTTGCAGTTCATATTACCTGCTGGAACTGAAATCTTTGTTAAATATACCATAAATCTTTGGCAGTTATCATTGGAAACATTTCTGCTTGTGAAGAAATTGGATCCTCATTGGGCATAGGTTCAACGTGAGATGGGACAGATAAAAATAAGAGTACAGAAGGGCAATGTTTTCACACAGAAGTTGATGAGTGTTTGGAATAGGCTGCAAGATGTAGTGGTGGAAGCAAGTATAATTTTGTCATTGAAGAAACATTGAGACAGGTACATGGATGGGATAGATATGGAGAGATATGGACCAAATGCAGACAAATGGGACGAGTTTATTTGTGAAACCTGGGTGGCATTGGCAAATTGGGCTGAAGGGACTGTTTCCATGCTGTAGACCTCTATTACACTATCAATATAAGATGATCAGTTGTGACTCCAGTTGGGAATTCAGGACATCCTTCGTGACCCAGAAAATGGTAACAATGTGTAATCTATGAACATGGAGCAGCTGGGCAGATAGCTCAGATGCATTGCCAGGGAATTTGGATAAGAACATCCGGGAGAAAGATATTACGAGGATATGCTGAAATGTAATACATGGTGGAGGAGCACAGCATGGGCCATTTGGGCCAAATTGCCTGTTTCTGCGCTGGAAATAGAGCAGTAAGGTCCGGTGTAAAACAAAAGGGGGGATATTTTTTGTTTGATCAGTAGATGGCAGCATGAGAACACTTTGCTATCCACACAATATAGTTTCTTTCCAGAATTGGAGACCTTTGTGAATGTTTTGCACTGCAGCTTCATCTACTGGTTTCTTAGTGCATTGCACTTCTTATTTTTTACCCTGGACAAGTTGCAAGTCTGAACGTGGTGTGAAGACATGATCGGAGTTACTCCTCATCTCAAATCAATATTGACAATTTTTTGCCGAGTCTTTCAGGTTTGGGTGACCTTATCTGGACCCTGATAGCATCCTTCAGCTCGATCTGAATCTGTCTGAAGATGAGGTTGACAGGATGGCTACTAATGGAAAAAGGGAGATGCACACAAGCAGCAAATGGTCATGGGTTGCAGTTCAAATCGGGAAACATCCACTCTGACAGTCCGGTGCAGTACTCAGGGAATGCCACAGTGTCAAAAGTGCCATATTTCTCAGCAAAGGTATTAATTTGAGTTTCTGTCTACTCTGTGAGGTGGATCAGAAAAAATCCCATGCTAATTTTTCTAAGAAGAGCAGGGGAGTTAACCCTGGCCTATGGCTCAATATTTGTTCATCAGTCAACATTAAACATACAGTTTGCTTGATCATGACCAGAATGCTGTTTGTTAGATCTTCCTGCGTGCAGATTAGTAGCCACTTTTCTAACATGGCACTCGTGACTGCAATAGTGTTTTATCAGATGTAAAGAGCTTTGGAACATCCTGGCATTGTGAGAGGTGCAGCGTAAAGATGCAAGTGTCCTTTTACTGACTGCCCCTCATCCTCACACCATCACATCTGAGAATTGGAAGATACAAGTCGGGTTTAGATGGCAAGTGAAGTGGCGGAATTCAGACCTGAAAATAACACAAGGAAACTTCAAACCAGAAAGCTGGAAGCACTCAGCAGGTCTTCTAACATGTTTGGAAGAAGACGAGGCAGGTCAATCTTTGGGCTTTATCCTATCACCACCACTGTAGTGAAAATGAATGGAAAATTTAACAAGAATCTCGCTGCATGACAAGAAATGTACAAGGTTGGATACGGACAGGAAAGTAAACTAAAGGTAGATACCCAAAGGTTCAGAACAGGAGATACTCTCCTGGAGTATACAAAGTGATCGATGATTAGAATGAAGAGAAGACTTGAAAAAACACTGACAGGTGATATTAAGAAAAATGGATATGCATTTTACAAGTCTATTATAGACAAGAGGATGAACAGGGAAAGAATAGGGCCTGTTAAGGACTTAAGTGGCAATGTGTGTGGGGAGCTGGAAGACACAGCTGAGCTTTCCAAGAAGTACTTTGCAACTGCATTCACAATCGAAAAAAATGGTGGTCAAGAAGTCAGGGAGGAGTCTGTGCCATAATTATACAAATTAGCATTGAGAAGGATGAGTGGTTTTAGTCAGCTTGAAATTAGCTCATTCTCAAGGCCAGATGAGATGTATCCAAAACTACTGTGGGAAGAAGGGAAGAGAGTGCAAGGGTTCTGTCATAAATTTTCAAATTGTCTCTGGCCACAGGATGGAAGAAGTGTGGTGCTGATTAACCAAGAAAATACAGGCCAGTGAGTCTAACATCTGAGTGCAGAATCGTCTGGAGAAAATTCTGTTGGACGGAATTAATCTCTACTTGGATAGGTAAGAATTAATCAAGTACAGTCAACATGGTTTTGTAATTTTCTGGGCTAGTGATGATTAAGCATTTAGATGAAGGTCGAGTGGTTGGTGTAGTCTACGTGAGCTTTAATAAGGCTTTTGGTAAGTTCTCACATAGCAGACTGGTTAAGAACCCAAAGGATCTCAGGTAATTTGGCAAATTGGATCCAAAATTGGCTTAATCGCCAAAAGCAGAGGGTGATGCTTTAACAGTACTTTTGTGACTGGAAGTCTGTGTCCAGTGGCACACAACAGGGTTCAGTGCTGGGTCCCATGCTGTTTGTTGTGTGCAGTCATGTGTCTATACACTGTAGAAGTTATTTTCAGTCAGTTCACAGATGACATGAAATTTGGTTGTATGGTAAGTCACGCGAAGAAAAGTCGACTACAGCACGATAAAGGGTTAGAAGGTGCAAATACCTGCAGATGTGGAATCTGCAGTCCAGACGATAAAGATGGGCTGAACACTGGCAATTGGAATTTAATCCTGAAAAGGGTGATTCTGGGAGGACTAACAAGGCAAGAGAGTACACATTAAATGGTAGAACATTAAATGGAAGTACAGATCATTGGAAGGACCTTGGTGTACACATCCATAGATTGTTACATACAGTAGGTCAGATGGGTAAAATGTTACAGAAGCCATGAGGGAAACTTGCCTTTGTTAGTCTTGGCAATGAATATCAGAGTAAAGAGATTATGATGGAGCTACAAACAAACCTTAGTTAGGCCACAGCTGGAGTTCTGGTTGCTCCATGCTAGGAGGTATGTGATTCTATTAGAGAGAGTGCAGAAGAGGTGTACAAGTTCTGACAGGCACCAAGAGGTGTACAAGTTCTGACAGTGTACAAGTTCTGACAGGCACCAAGAGGGTCAGTCGACAGAAACTTTTCTGTTTACTCGAGAGGGATATAACAGGGAACACCGCTTTAAGGGAAGCAGAAGGTTTAAAGGTGTTTTGAGGAAACAATTTTTTACCCAGAGAGTTGAGGGCATCTGAACCCTACTGGTCGAGTTAGAATCCTAAAGACATTTAAGAACTATTGAGATGAGTGCTTGAAATACACTAGCATACAAGGCTGTGAGCAAAGTGCTAGAAAATGGGTTAAACATCAATGGTTATTTCATGACCAGCATGGATACGAAAGGCTTCTTCTTGCACTGTAAAAACTCTTTATGATAATGGTCACCATCATTTGAGATTAGATTTAAATTCCCCATATTTTTGAATGATTTTAAATTCCACAAGCTAGTCAGAGGCTTTGAATGCTTGTCATGAGAGCATCATCGTAGGCATCTGGATACTGAGTAAACTTAGTATATCACCGCCCCTTAAAGTTGATCCTCAAACATAATGTTTTAGTTCCTCAGCTGTCAGGAATTGGAATATTGTGCCAAACGGCAAAATGCACAGGGCTACGTGGAGGAGGCTAGTGTAAATAGCACCAACGGGGTGGATCCGACGCTAAGTCGGTGCTTGCCTTGGAAAGGCCAGTAAAGATAAGGGGCTGAATGGCCTCTTCCAGTGTTTTGACCATTTCTCCGATTCAGTTGAGTGCAAAAGACTGCTCCAGTTCTTGCACTTTTACTTGCCTTGCGGCAGTGAAAAACAGTCGCTGAGATCAGGTGCATCTCTTGGCTCCCCCAAAAAGGAAATCACCACTGCATCGCCATGGCCATTCAACTCCTAAAGCCACGTCCATGCTCACCTGTGCGTACGTAACAACACCTGCCGGCAGGTCACGAGCGCAGGCGCAGAAGCATCCCCACCCACCCAAGAAAGCCACAAGGAGCGCGGCGGGGAGCTGCTGGATGCGGACCCACGAGGGCTAACAAGGAGCAGTGCGCACGCGCAGGCCAGGGCATCGGCGCGACGAAGGCGGACCGGTGAGAGGCCACCAACCGCCGCTTGCTCGTGTGCGCCCCGCCCCCCGGCTTGAACAAAAGCGGACTCAATAGAGACCGCTTGTTACCTACGGGAGGTGAGGCAGAGACACGTACAGAATTACCCTCCCCGCCCCATTTAAAAAGAAAGGGTCGGGAGAACGGGAAAATGAGAGAAGAGAGACCATTTCACTGACTTACCTTTGTTCCCGCCCACAGCACCGCGCGAGATCAAAGTGAACGCGCCTCCGGGGCGGGTGTGTGTGTGTGGCGGGGAGGAGAAAAAGGACGCCGCCAAGAGCAATTCAAACCAAAACACGAGCCGAGCCAACCCAACCGGGCAAGTGCTGACAGGTGCCGGGGTGGTGAGCGGGGCCGACCTTCCCTCTGCGTGAGAAACGGGACCGGATAGGAGCAGTCAGGCCAGGCGGGCTGCTGCTCCCTCACTGCACGGTCAAAGCGGACCGGCTAGCGAAGAGGCACTCGGACGGTTCTGGAATCCCCGGGAGCTGCGCGTGCGGCCCTCCAACGGTCGGCGTTGGTTTTTGAATTTTTTAAAAAAAAAAATATATTTGAACCGTCGCTGGCGAGCTTCCCAACATGGTGTCGTGGCTCATCTCCAGGCTGATCGTGTAAGTCGGACGGCCCCTCTGTCTGCTTTTCTGAGATAACAAGCTGTGGAGCTGGATGAACACAGCAGGCCAAGCAGCATCAGGGGAGCTGGAAAACCCTGAAGAAGGGTCTAGGCCCGAAATGTCAGCTTTCCCGCTCCTCTGATGCTGCTTGGCCTGCTGTGTTCGTCCAGCTCTGCACCTTGTCATCTCAGATTCTCCAGCAGCTGCAGTTCCTTCTATCTCTGTCTGCTTTTCTTGTTTGTCTGCGTTTGCTTCTCTCCCCGCCAACTCCTAACAACCACCTGGCGCACCCGACTCCCTCGTTGTCGTGAATTCCACAACTTTTTTTTTTGCATGCACGTCCGTTTGAAATTTTGGCTTGTAGCAGCGGAGGTGTTTGCAGTCGTTGAAGAGATGAAAAGACGTTTATTTCCACCTTTTTTCTTTTGTACTTTTTTTTTTAAGAAAAGAGGAAAAAGTTGTTCACTTCCGTTTGGAATCTTTTACACCCTTTCCCCCCCCTTTTCCCCCCCCCAAGGCAAATTAGAAAACCGTCTTTACTTTGGTTGCCTTCCTCCCTTGAGTTTGAATATTTCGGTTTAGAGCAGTTGACTATCTGTGTCATGTTTAGCTTTGCGAAACAGGCTGAAAGGGGGTTACAAGTTCAGCTGCTTGGGATCACGAGGTGGCGATGGCAACATATGGAGTTGAGTTCCGTGCCTCTTGGAGTGTCTCCAAGAAATTGGAACCAAGTCTTTGTTAAATCGCCTCTCCTTTTTCTACATCCAGTTTCTCCTGTCGGGCTGAACTCTTTGCAACTTGTGTTGTTTTCCCATGGTTAAGGTGTATTCACTTCAGTTTTTCACTTTGCCACTAGTTGAGTACACATGATTTGTAAAAAGAAAACAAAATTTTCCCTTTCACCTTTGTGGTTTCCTGCCCCTTGTTAATCAGTTCTTGTTTCTAATGGACTACATTTGAAACTACCATCCCAAGACAGCTGCAGTGAAGGTACATCAGTGTTTGGTTCTGAAGTCCAGTGTTCTGGGTGACTGCTCAAGTGACTTGTGTGTCCTACTCCTGTAGCCTGAATCTCAGTCACGTTGACGTGTGAATTGATTCACTGATGGTCTGATTTTTTTTTTTGTTTTGGTAATACTCTTCAGTGCCAGCTCTGAGATCCTGAGCTGTGAGTCACATTACAGCCACCTTGAACCAGTAAGTTTCCTTTTAAGGAGTTGGGTTGGGGTCAATGACAGGATTTTGTATTATAAATTGTGACCACTTATTAAAAATTACCCATTCGGTCCCTGGAGGTTCTCGTTTTTAGGTGAAATGATGTGTGCTGACCCACCGGCCTTGGCTCCATTGTGGCATTTTAAGTAAAACTTGAGAAAAAAAGCTGAAAGAACTGTGAATGCTGTCAATAAGGAACAAAAGCAGAAGTTGCTGGAAGCACTTCAGGTCGGGCAGCATCTGTGAAGAAAAAAATCAGTTCATGTTTTGGGTCCGGTGACCCTTCTTCAGAATCCTCTTCACAGATGCTGCCAGATCTGCTGAGCTTCCAGGAATTTGTTTTTGTTCAAAACTTGAGAAAGCTGAGTTAGTTACAAATTTAGCCAGCATATACTACTGTTTTTCGTGGCCACCATTTACTTGAAGTTTTTCTGAATTTAACAATTGAATTATAGAATCCCTACGGTAATGCAGAGTGGGCTAAGTTCCTGTGTGGGCTTAGGGTACTGTGAAGGATTCTCCTTAACTTCTTTACCTTGTCTGAGGCACGGTGATTCTCATATGAAACCACCACCAGTATCTCTAGTTCGCTTGCTATTGAGGGAGCAGCCTTAAGGTCTGGTAAGACCAGGCAACTTTAAACTTGGGTTTCCCTGCTACTTATGTGCACTGTGACCTAAAATGGCTGCCAGTCAGCAAGCTTTTTTTAAAGAAAAGAATTCCCTTCCTTTAATATTGCTTCAGACCCTTTCAGCCACCTGTCCTTATCCAGTATGGCAATCCTCTAAGATGTCGACCATCTTCTAAATGAGACTTCTGACATTTGAAAGGTAATTCTCCACCATTGGTGGAAAGTCTAAGCTCTGGAATACCTCCCTATAACCCTCTTGTGCCCCTCCTCCCCAACACCCTGTAGGTCACCTTGGATAAAACATGTCACCATTTGATGAAATATTTGGTCACATCATTTCATAAAGACACCTGAAGCACCTTGTGTGTTTTACTGTACTCGATAACAATGTTTGAGATTGTGATGCAATGAGCTGATGGTTTGAATATGTTTCAGCAACCTTGAGAGAACCATCAGCTGGATCAACATGCTAGGGTATACGATTCTTTTAGTCTCACTCATATTTGTGCACACAGAATCACCACCTTATTAGGAGTCTTGCTCATGTCAAACAGTAATTTTAAACACCTTGTGAAGTAAACGATCAACAACTGTGTGGACTCAACCCATTCTTAACTCCCTCAACGGTGGGGACAAAGTACCACAGTGAACTGACTTGCCTATCCCCGTCCCTGCACAATGTTGGGTGTTGGCTTGACAGCTGTTGGAGCGTTGCTCTTTTCAGCTTGTCAGCATTCTAACCCCTGAGCATGATTGCAAGACCAACAGTCCTTCGGTCAACAAATACAGGTAAGCATGGCTGTTCACTTAACAGCATTCCCACAACAATAACATAGGACTGGACGAGACAGAGCTCTAAACTGCAAACACACAGCAACCACTTAGTATGCACTGTGTTATCCTATTTACTTAAAACTTTGTGAAACACAGTTTAAATAGTTTGCTCATTCCAAATGTGGAACACCACCCAGCAAGATAATTATATGCTTTACATGATGCGTGTTTGCTCATGCACATGCTGAGCTTGAAACATTTGCACTGGTGGTAGAAGTCATTGGAGAAATGAGAGAACGTGAATCTGCTCCTCCAGTCAACAGTTACCAGCGGGTAGAAATTACCAAACCCAGGAGGGACAACAGTTTCGAAACACTGCTGTTTGGAGTGTGTTGGGAGAAGTATACTTCAAATGACGAAGCCAATTAACAGCAAGTATCACTGTTAACACTTATTTCAGGAGGTTTGGAAAGCATTCCCAAGTATCTCAAAGATAACAACCAGTACGCAGCTTTGTTTGTCCAACTAACCTCAATTATATGATTGTTTGTTTTAGCAATTACCTGTGGTGCATCTCAAATGATATATCCTGAACTCCTTTAATCTCATCCTTGTAATTGAATTCAAAAATGCATCCAGACACATGAATTGCTGTCACGATTTCTGTTGGCCCTGTCACCATCTGATGTCATTCTTCGTTCAACACCCAGTTTTAAACTTTTGTCAACAAATACTGAACAGACTGAAGGTATTTGTCTTTTGACTCTAAAAGTAGTTCAGTTGATGACCTCTTTCATTCTGTTCCCTTGCACTAGCTGAAGCTGAGCCATTTAATTTGGCATTTAAGCTACTTTATCTCCTGATAGATAATGGCACGACAGCCAATCTCAGCACAGAGCTTTGAAATACTCTTTCTCGCAATTAAAGCCTCATAACTTGCATCTCATCCTGCATTTCTCATGATAGATCAGTCAATACCAATATTGGCAAACAAATAACCACTACCAAATTTGGCATGTCTTTACTACACCAACTCTCATTCATTCTGCTGTGTTCTGAGGAAGGGTCACTGCACCCAAAATGTTAACTCTGACTTTGCTGCACAATTGCTGTCAGAACTGCTGATTTTTCCAGCAATTTCTGTTTTTGTTTTTCATGTAATGCAGTTTCTTGGTCTGAAAGTCAGCTTTTCTTCGTTAAGCCGAAGCACCCCACATCTGCAAGGTTTATCCTCGTGATCTATTCGATCATTTGAATCACATACAGCACTGGTGTCCGCTCTCGAGCGCCGCCTTTTCTTCTGGCCACAACTGCCTCTCAGTTTTCCTGTCAATTCTAACAATTACAAGGAGCTGATGAGCTTTTGTCTCCAAGTCTCTGCATTTGTGCCTTCCTCCTTCTTTGCTGATCCCAGTACTCTGAGCAAGAAAGGTGGACATATACACGTGCATGGGCAGAGGGACGCCCACCACCATTTCAGTGCTTAGCTGTTTTTCCACCATTCCTTTCTTCACTGCTTCATTGATGGCCTTTGGGTCATTCCAGTTTAGCACGCAGCAGCTGATGGCCAACTGCGCAAAGAGTGAGAGTTTTACGTTCTAAATGTATGGCATACTGTTGAAGTAGCGTTTATATCATATTCATGGTCAAACTATTGGCTTCCTTGGTGAAGCACCGAATTAATCGGAGTGGAAAAATGATTCCCATAAAAACTATTCCCTACAATAACCCAAGCTGCTATAATTCTTCTTTCATGCAATGTTTTGCTTTGTCAACAACCACGTACTTAACATATTCCAAGCTAAGGCACAAACTTCCACACTGAAGTAGCTGAAATAAATTGACCTCATTTGTTGCATTTGAAGTCCGATAAGTTACAGACAGATATTAATATGGTGAATGGAGGTTTGTTTGGGGGGGAAAAACAGTTGGGCCAATTAGCACCAAGGATTGGAGACCATGTGGATGTCGCATAGATAGGAAGATATTTTTAAATCCCTCGCTGCCTTACAGTGAGAACTTCAAAAAAAATCTTGGAAATCTGGTAGGCAACGAAGGTGTCTGAACAGAGGTTCTAGTAAGAGTCAGAAAAGCTGTACGTTTTGTTCACTTGTGAGACATGGAAGTCATTGGCTTGCCAACATTTATTGCCCATCCCTAGTTGCCATTAAAGATGGCGACCCACAGTGCTCTTAGGGGAGGCACTGAGGATTTTGACCCAGTGACAGTAACGCCAAACTGAAATTTTTAATATAGTCTTAAAAATCTCCTAGATTTGAAGTGCACTTAATTCTAAGTCCAGAATACACAGGAAATAAAATATTATCCAGAATATGGGGGCTGAGTTGTGTACAACCTTGAAAATAGCGTAAGCTTT